GAGTTTAGGGGATTTGGGCTCAGGACGACGATGCCACCAGTTCAACTTTGAGTTTAGGGGATTTGGGCTCAGGACGACGATGCCACCAGTACAACTTAGAGTTTAGGGGATTTGGGTTTAGACAGCAGCATTAAACTTTGAAACCGAAGCCGGCAGATCGTAAACACCCCCAAAAACTAGAAGTCCGGAGGATCAACCCACATACACCACATACAAAAAACAAGAAGTTGCAAAGGCGAGCTTGGGTTTCCGTTTATTCACGTTTGCAGCCGCCACATTCATTAAACCCTAAAGCCTTAACCCTTAGGACCATGGAAGTGCCCGGGCGGAGGTTGGGAGCCGGGGTGCTGAATGCGAAGAACTCGAAGTTTCGGGAACGTCGAAACCAAGATCTGGGCTAAGGTTTAGGGTTTATAGGGTTTGGGGTTTGGGCTTTAGGGTTTAGGGTTTGGGGTTTGGGATGGTTTAGGGGTTTCTCTGAGGATTTTAAGGCGTTGGCTGTAGGGCTTCAGGGCGCCATGGTTTAGTGTGTACGGTGTAGGGCGTTGGTTAGGAGACCTGGGGGCTTTTGCTATGTTCGTCCAGAGGCTTACGGCTAACTTGGGGTTCACGGCACCCTAAACCCTAAACCAATAAACAAACCCCCTAAACCCTAAACCCCTAAACCCTAAACCCCTAAACCCTAGATCCTAAACCCCAAACCCCTAACCCCTAAACCCCAAACCCCTAAACCCCTAAACCGCTTGAGTCCATGATTTCGGGTCATTGGGCTGGAGGGCCGGGGTGCCTGGGTATTCGAACCCCTAAACCCTCCCCTCAAACCCTAGAGCCTAAGGCCCTACCCCCCCGAAAGCCTAAGGGTTTAGGGTTTAGGGTTTAGGGCTTAGGGTTTAGGCACTCTACAACCTAAGGCCCTAGACCCTAAACCCCTGCAGCACCTCACCCTGCGCTCGAAAACCTGAACCCTAAACCCTAAACCCTAAACCCTAAACCTTAAACCCAAAACCCTAAACCCTAAACCCAAAACCCTAAACCCTAAAGTCCAAACCCATGAGGCTTCAAGCCGAAACCCGAAAGCCCTAGAGCCCCAAGACCTGAAATCCGAAGACCCTACCGTTTAGGGTTTAGGGTTTAGGGTTTAGGGTTTAGGGTTTAGGAAGCCTGAGGGATTAGAGAAGGTGTAGAGCCCAAAGCCCCTAGAGTGAACCCTATACCCTAAACCCTAAAACAGTAAAACCCTAAACTAACCCTAAACCCTACACCCTCAAACCCTAAAACCTAAACCCTAAAACCCCCTAAAAGCCTAAACCCTAAAACCCTAAAACTTGAAACCCTAAACCCTAAAACCCTAAAGCCTAAACCCTAAAGCCTAAACCCTAAACCCTAAATCCCAAAACCTAAAACC